CACTTAATAAAATATATCGATTTATAAAAAAAGAAAGAGCCAAGTCCCTCAAATATATTTTGTCACATGAATATTTTAAGAAAGAAATACAAAAACTCTCTTCCCTTAATTTTGGAATTGACAAAATAATCACAACAAATTCAAATAGAGAAGACCTTCTAGCGCCATTCAGAAATCTAGTCTGGATCACCAGTGCATAGCTAGAGCAGAAAAAAGAAAAGATACGTTAAAACATATACAGAAATCTGTTGAACAAAGATGGGAAAACCTAAGATTAAATCCCAAGAAAATGATCAATAGTGTACTTGATCGTCCACGTAAATCTATTGTAATGGATCATCTAATTAGCGAGAATATTAGTGGGGACATTACTATAACTACAGACAAAGATGAAATTAAAAATAAAGTACGTAATCATTTTTACAATTGGACAAGCAAGCGGAACACGGACATACTTTTAATGAATAAATGGGCAGAATTCTATAACCCCCTACCTGACGTTGATGTGAACTGGTACAATTCCCTATTACTCAATGTAGAGATTGATGAACTAATAGAAACCATCACTTCACTACCAAATAAGAAAGCACCAGGTCAATCTAATTTGCAATATGAGTGGTTTAAACACTTACCAATGGCCGGTTTAGAGGTACTAAGAGATATAATCAATATGGCAATAACATTAAATGAAATCCCTAGAGACTGGAAATTAGGTTTTATCTACCCTATAACCTAAACTACTGACTGGAGCCATAACCTAAACATCACTCGTCCGATTACATTGCTAGAAGCTGGCAGGAAAATCTTCATGAAAATAATGAACAATAGATTATCAAAAATTTTTAACACTAACAAAGTTTTGTCAACCCACAACTACGCTGGTCTTCCAGGAGACGATGCTCAAAGTCCTATACATATCATTAACAATATTATGGAGGATGCACACGTTAACAAAAAAGAACTCTGGATAATGTTCCAAGATATGAGTAAAGCATTCGATTCTGTTAACTCTGACTGCTTAACTCATGCATTAAAGAGAATTAAAATACCTGTAGGATTTATCAATATCATCAACAACCTCCTAAAAAATCGAGAAAATATAGTACTGACAACATACGGAAACATAACACCGTACACGGTTGAAGACGGAATCGATCAGGAAGACATAATTTCACCACTTCTATGGAGAATTTTTTATGATCCTTTAATTAGCCGAGTGGCCAATGAAAAGTATGGATACATAATGAGAGAAAAATGGATTGAAGACCTTAAATCAGGTACAGCAAAAAGTTTGAAACTCAAAGCTTCTGTGGCGGCATATGTAGATGATACAAATTGGTTCGCCTCCTCACGTGACAGTATGGAAAAAATTCTAGATATCGCTAATGAGTTTTTCCTAATGAATGATATCAAAATAAACAAGAGTAAATCCTATTTGGTAGCAATCAATGCAAGTAATGAGAATAAGATTAAAGGTGTTAGATTAGGTGAGGACACTCTGCTCCCAGTTGATAGGGATTACCCTATTAGATCACTGGGCGTATATGTCACTGAAAGTGGTTCTAAACGATTTCAAAAGGAATGGCTAAAAAGAGTAACCGATCATATGGCACTTATTTTGAAGAATAAACCAATTACAGATAAGCAAGCAATTTATATTTTCAATGCCGTTGTCATTCCAATACTTGAGTACAGCTTGAATGACATGACAATGTCAGAAAAAGAATGTTGGAAAATAACAACTAGATTTATTTCAGTGATTAAAGGAAAAGCTGGTTTAGCTCGTACTGCACCCAATGCACTCATACATGCTAAGGTGGCATACGGAGCCTTTAACCTATGGGATAGACAACTCCAGATGCATAGCAGCAATTTAATGAACCGCCTAAATGATAAAGAGGTACTGGGGGCATCAACTCGGATACGTTTACAATACCTACAAAATATTTTTTGGTCTAATAAGATAATAACTGAATCTATAGAGGTCTTTAAAACTCCCAGAAACCAATCCCTCCTAAATGATATTTTGAATATTTGTAAATCACACAACCTTACATTTAAACTCTCAGATAACATCAAAAAGAGCATGCTAATTAGAGGTGGTAATATAACTATAGAAGATATTCTCAAAGAAGACACCTGTTACTCTAGACATAGAAGAAGCTTAAAACAGCGTCAACTCATGTTTCTCGAACAACTCATGTCATACAATGGTAAAAAGCTCCTACACTGGCAGGAAATCACTGGCAATGAAAGACGAGGTCCAAAACCCAGCTGGTTTAAAGTAATTGAAAATAAACTTTTGTCACCAATATCAGGAAGATTAATCACCAATAATAGTATCCAATCGCAGCTAGGCCATAGATTTAATACGTGTATGTGGAATATCGATAAAAGTTGTAGGGATATAAAGTGGGTAGCAATTAGAAATACTCGTAATCAAGTTCCAACAATTGGAAAGAAACGTAAAGTATTAAATGCAAAAGAGTTTATAATGGAGCATTATATCAGGGAAAGAGATTTGGAGGAAGTAGAAAACTCCATTTTGGAAAAATGCAAGGGTTGTACACAGGGAGATAATAATCTAACCAAACATCTTAAGAACCAGGAGACTTGTATGATTAAGGTTAATATTATACACTCTGTTAATATCAATGTTATCAAAAGCAAAATCTCTTGTCGGCCAACAGTAGACAAACGTAGCAAACTTCGTCTTCGCTCAGAAATAGAGGCCATAAACGTAGGTCTGAATAGTATTACAGAAAGTATACAGCCAATTGATCCAAGTTTAATACAGTCGTTACCTAGCATTCAAATAGATAATCATACCAATGTGAGGGCAGAAATATATGACCAATACCGTACGTTCTGGTACAATGACGAGATCCAGGATGACCTGGACAAGATCAGAACTTTGCTTGCCAATAGTAAAAAAATTAACATTTACACAGATGGTTCACTAACAAAAGATAAAAATAACAATGAACAATTCTCAATAGACATGCCATCTATGGGCTGTGACTGGGTGGCTCTGGGAGAACATGGAGAATTTTTGACCTTCAGCGATAAAGTGGAGAATTTCATCTCATCTACCAGAGCAGAGTTAACAACTATTTTAACTGCAGTATATGCTACTCCAAGACACTCTATATTAACTATTTACACTGATAGTAAAGCTGCAATTGAGGCATAGTATGGAACTTTGAACAACTTTAAAAAAGCACATAGAAACTATAATAATTGGACTTTGTTAAAAGCTATTAAAGAATTAATAACGGTACAAACAATACAATTAAACATGGTCAAAGTAAAAGCACATTCTGGAGTCACAAATAATGAATTGGCTGATAAATTAGCGGGAGAAGGACATAATTGTCCAAGTTGCATGCCGAGATTACAAACTTTATCACTCATTAATGCGGTCTGTTGCTGGAATGATTTACCAATTGAGGAACCTCTTCGAAAATTCACCAAAAAGTTCTGCGCGGCCCGACACTCTACAAGCTGGAGACTTCTAAACAGAAACACAACAACAGTGTCGACAATTAAAAGTAATCGTATCAACTGGGAACTAACTTGGGAAACATCTTCACGCTCGTATATTGAAAGACAATTCACAAACAATGAAGACTCAAATAAGAGATCATTCAATATTAAAACATTAAACAATGAACTTCCCACTTTGGAGAAAATGAAAGATAGATTCCCCACAATTTATGACAATGATACTTGTGTTCGTTGCAAACTTGAAAGAGAAACTCAATTACATTTATTCATGTGTAGCAAAAATCAAATAGATATTAAGACATGCAAACAAACATTCATTCAGATCTTGATAAACCAGATTACCAATGAATCATCCATTGTAATTGACATCAATCTTAAAGAAACACTTTATAACCTACCAGATTTATCAACAAATACAATAACAAATACAAGAGATCCTACAATTTTTTCATTTGCTGATATATTGATGGGTCTAGTTCCAAGTTCTCTACAAACATTGATACAAATCCTATCTAGAAACAAATATATAACTAATCACATAATACATAACACCATGGAAAAATTTAAAATATATATATATGAAAACTTCTGGATACCCAGGTGCAGAGAGGTCAAGAGGTGGGAACTCACAAATGGTATCAAGTATCGTAATAAACGGAAGGTGCATTCGGTACCATTAAACATAGTAGATAATTCAATTAATAGTGGTAATAACGGTGATAACAATAGTAATGGTGATAATAATAATAACAATACTGATATAAACAAAAATAGAGACATTAAACAGCGTATAATTATTTGTTGTAATATAGTTAACAAATTTATTAGCAATTTTGTCCGTTATGGGATGAATTGGGTAGGGTTGTATAAAATAGGTTATTCGGCAGGGCCTTAACATGCTAAGGGCAAATTTATTTGTCAGGCGGTAGGTTGCAGGCATGTCTCATATGAGTTAGTCTGAGTCTCATGTTTTCAACAATTATTAGGATAAGTTATATATTTTATATTATGTAAAAGTAATGTAAAGACTCTCTCTTTTTCTATTTAATAAACTTGAGGCAAGGCCTCACTGGAACAAAAAAAAAAAAAAAATCTATCGACTTTCTCCTTCATTTTCTCTTGCTCTTATTTCTCTTCTCGCTTCTTCTATATCTCTCATTCTTGCTTC